AGCTCAGTGTGCCTCTGCGGCCTCTGGGCCTCTGCTCAGAGCCGAGCTGGAGCCAGCCCACGCCCTCACCTGAGAGGGAGGGGTGTGGATGAGACGACCCACTCCTTCCCTGTTTCCCTGTTGGTCAAGATAGGTGGTGGGTGTGGCAAGCAAAGAGCATCTCCCACATGGAGATGTGGGCGTGTGTGTGTGTGTGTGTGTGTGTGTGTGTGTGTGTGTGTGTAGGAAGGCTGTGTATGGAGGAGAGGAAAGGAAGAAGGGAGAGTTAGCCCAGTGGAGGGCAGTCCCAAACCTTCACTCAAGGGAGAGAGTCGAAGATGCTCTGTCTCAGGAAGACAGGGCCAGACCAGGCCCCTCTATTCCTAACAGTGCAGCAGCCCCTCTCTCTGCAGAAAGTGCTCCCTTGGGGCCCAGGAAAAGGGGAGTAGGGAGGCAGAGAGTCCCAGACCTGCCACTCTCACTGGCTGTGTAACTGGGTGAGGTACTTCACTCCCCTGAGCTTGTTGCCTTGCTAAAAATTTTACCAGTCAGTGGCTTGATGGCTAAGCTGGTTGGATCCAACAACAGTTTGTCCCACAAACTGATGACAACGGAGTTTGAGTCCCAGACCCGGCAGCTTGAAAAACTGGACCTCTATGTGTGCATGCCCAAAATCCTGAGAGAGGAATGGAGGAGGGATTTTGGTGTGCCCATCCTGCCCTGCAGTGGGTGATTTCTTTCTCTCTCTCTCTCTGTCTGGTGAGTGCACATGCCCTGTATCAAAATTTTAAATAATTTTTTTCAGCTAAGTCCCAGCCATGGCTGTGCATGCAGTAGGGTGCTGGCGCACAATGCTGGAGCCATAGGGGAGAGCCCGGGTTCAGAGCCCTGGGTTGCCCGGGGTTGCCCTGAGCACACGGGTGCACCTGTGATCCTGGCTGGCTGCAAGGCTGAGGAGAGGGTGGGGTATGGCAAGACCCTGTCGGGGCGTCTTTCTCTCTCAATAAATAAGTAAACATTTTTTCAGGTAACAGGTGTCTTCTTCACAGGATTGGTGTGATGACACGAGCTGGTATGTGAAGGGGCACCCTACGTCTCGGAGGGGTTATTTCGAGGGAGGTTAGGGTGTTTGTGGCAGAAGGGGGCAGGATACCGCACAGCTCTTACCATCGTGCCCAGGGAACGGTGCCAACTAAAACACAGGCTGGAATTCATCTCTGTAGCAAGTGACCTTGAGCCTGAGAGCAGGGAGGAAAAGGAGAGAGGAAGCCCCAGCTTCCTGTTCCCCGCTCCCGGGCACCCTGGGCCTGAGAAGGCCAGTGTGGACCAGGCGTGCCCTCGGTTCTGCCCGGCTCCCGATTACTTAGTCCTGCCAACCTCCACCAAGCCCCTGAAATTTCATCCTTTTCTGCTGTGGTCTGTGGACCTAGAGCTCAACGGTACCCCCTCCTCTCCTGCAGCCCCCAAACCCCATTTCAGAGGTTCAGGTCCTGAGCCACGCCCTCACCGCACCTCATCCTGTCTCTCCAAGATCTCGGTCCTAATCAGAATAAACGCCTCGTTGGGTCCTCCCCTCCCCGCACCCCTGCCCACGGCAGAGGGAGCTGTGATGGTGACGAAGCAGCCAGGGGCTGGGTAAGAGCTCTTCCAAGGATTCCAGCATTGTCATCGTCTTGCCCTCGGCCAGCTAATTAAGATAATGTTGGTGTTTTTCAAAGTTTATTCATTTCATTTCCTCCCCTAACAGGGTCCTGTGCCATGATCCACCCTGACCCCCAGCCAGCCCGGGTCACAGGCACTTGGCCAGAGCATTCGGGGAGGTCTCCAGACAAAACCCCAGAACCTCCTGGTGGAGGTCAGCCTCATCATGCCACTCAGGCCCCTTAGGGTAATGCTTGAAGTTCAGGTCCTCAGCATGCTGGGACAGCGGACAGGCCCTCAGGACATCGGCAGTCGGCTTGCTGAAGCCATCGGACACCCAGAGGTGGGAGATGCAGACCGGTGCCAGGGTGTTTGGGTGTTCGAGCCAGGGTGGGGTGCAGGAGACTGCAGAAGGAACATGTCTGCCTGCAGTCAGGTGAGGCCCAGGGGCTGCCAGGGCCTCTGGACAACTCCCACTCAGTCACTTCGGCTCTCGGGCCATGTCCACTCTTCTGCCCATCCAGAACCATCTGCCAACCAGGGAGTGAAGGGTCACCCTTTCACGCTTTGGACTTTGCTCGTTTCGGTTTGGAGGAATGAAGCTGGGCCAGGATTCCAGGGTTCTGTTCTCCAATGGAAGCGTCTGGTCCACTGATCAATTCTTGTTTTCTTTCACCTTTATTCACTGCAGTCTAAAGCCTTTCCCTTGGTCTGAGCTGACCAACACCCCAGCTTCCTGTTCCCCACCCCCCGGCACCCTGGGCCTGAGAAGGCCAGTGTGGACTAGGCGTGCCCTCATTTCTGCCCTGGCTCCGGATTACTTAGTCGTGCCAACCTCTACCAAGCCCCTGGCATTTCACCAGTGGTTGTATAGCCTGGTGGTGCCACCAGCTGGCCACGGCTAAGAACTTCATCTTTCTAGAATTTCGTTCGTTCATTCACTCACTTGCTGCAACTTCTCCTGAGCCCTTGCCATGTGCCAACCACTGTGCTAATTGCTGCGCAGACGGGACGTGGTTGTTGGAGCCAGATGGTGGCACTGTGGTAAAACATGATGTTCTGGGCCAGCTAATGGCATAGTGGTTAAGGTGGCTGCCTCCCACCTGGCCAACTGCCTGCTTGAGTCCTGGACCCAGAGGCTTGAAGAACACACTGGGCGCGTGTGCGTGCGTGTATGCCCCAAATCCTGAAAGCAGGGAGAGATGAAGATGAAGGGACTGTGGTGTGGTCGTTCCCCATGGGGGTGCTTTCTCATTTTCCCTCCTCTTGCTCCGGCAAGCACACGTGTCCTCCAGCAAGTTCAACATCTTCTTTTTTCTTTTTTTTCCTGATTTATTTTTTGAGAGGTTTTTGCTACAGGCTGCTCGCCAGAAGAGAGAGACAGACAGAAAGCAAGAAATCACCCCCCAGGTGGGATGACCACGCCGTAATCCCTTCTCCTCCATTCTCTTCTTGGGATCTTGGGCACGCACGCACAGGCACCCGGTGTGAGTTTAAGCCACTGGGTCAGGGACTCAAACCACGGTCGACTATGTAGGAATCCAGTGACATAGCCATTACGCCAACTGCTGGTCCCTCAACTTCTTCTTATATAGAGAGTGAAATTGATTTGCCCAGGGGCCACCAGGTGGCATGGTGGTTAAGGCACTGGACACTCCCAAGTGGTCGACCACAATTCGAGACCTGGACCTGGTGTCTTGCTTTCTCACTTTCCCTCTCTCTCTGTATCTCTCTGGTCAAATTGAAATAAATGAATGAATAAATTAAATTAAATAAAAAAGAAGTGGCTTTAAAAAAAAAAGTGACTTGCCCAAGGCTACCAGGGAAGTGATGACAGACACACGATTTAAGGTAAAAGTCTCCCGACTCCGCTGAGATGGATACCGAACTTGAGCTGTGAAATATCGTTTTCCTTGGGACCAGCAGTTGGTGTAATGGCTATATCGCTGGACTCCCATGTAGTCAATAGCAGTTCAAGTCCCGGACCCGGTGGCTTAAACTCAGGCCGGGTTCGTGTGTGTGCATGCCCAAGATCCCGAGAGGAGAATGGAGGAGAAGGGATTGCGGTGTGACCATCCCCCCTGGGGGGTGATTTCTTGCTTTCTGTCTATCTGTCTCTCAGTCTCTCTGTCTTTCTGGCGAGTGCATGCACCCTATAGCAAAAACCTCTCCAAAAGAAAAAATATATATATATATTGCTTTCCTTAACCCAAAATGTAGATTTTCTGCTGAGACTTCCCCCTTCAGATTCATTTCTAGTGGATAGGGCTACCTCTGGGTCCTTCTCTCCATTTCTGTCTCTCTCTGCCTTGCTGTATCTCCCTGTGATTTTTAATTTTTTTTTTTTTCAGATTTTAAGGTAAAGTATTCTCTGGGCTCTCAACTCCTCTTATTGTGCTAATTGCTGCCTTTCCCCATTTCATTTAGGTAGGGCACAAACCCAGGCCCATCCTGAGATGGATATCGAACTTGAGCTGTGAAATATCGCCTTCACGTGGCACATGTGCATGCTGCACAGTTTATATTTTTTGCTTTATAAAATTAAAATAAAATGTTTTTATTATATTTTTTCTTTCCCCATTTTCATTTTATTTTTTCTTCTTTTCTTCTCTAATTGTTTTCCTTTTTTCTTTACCTTTATTCATTCTCTGATCAGCCTCTATGCACTGTCTAGACAGGTCTAAGTGACCAGGATCTAAACATCTGAATATGATTAGGGTCAGAATATTCCTCTATTCTCACTGAATCTGATGCACAAAGAGTGAAAATGGAGCAGAAGGGAGATTGCAGATCGCCTTCTTCTGTACGCCTCTGAATGCTCGGATTGAACTTCAAGAATTAGAAAGAAACACGCCATCCATCCGATGATTAGAAATCACCGCAGGGTCATAAGAAATATGGGAAAGCAAGACAATACCTCTCCTCCAAGGGAAAAGAATAACACCTCTTCATCCTCAGATAAAGTACAATGAAACTCATGGAAATATCTGATAAAGAATTTAGAATATTCATGGTGACAAAGCTAACAGAGATGGGAGAGAGGAGAGACAATGAACTGCAGAAGAGGCAGGAGAAAGGAGCTGACAAGTTCCAAGAGGTGAGGAAATTCTTGCAAGATCTAAAAGAGGAAATACACACTCTAAAAGAGAATCGAATGGACCTGTTAGAGATGAAGGCTATGATACAGGAAGTCAAAACCTCCCTTGAAAATACTAAAAGCAGACTAGATCATACAGAAAATAGAATCTCAGATGTAGAAGATAGAATAGCTGGCCATGAAAAACCATGAAGACTGAGGAAATTGCCCCCCAAAATGAGAATAATATATGAAGGGACCAGCAGGTGGTGTGGTGAT